CATCCGTTGGATGTGCAGCAGCAGAATTTGCTGCTGCAGCAGCAGCCCCAGCATCTGCTGCAGCAGCTGCAGAAGTTGTGGGGGCAGATGGAATTGCGGTTGCAGCGGTGTAGGTAGGATGATTGATGCTGCTGTTGCTGCTGCTGCTGCAATAGCAACAGCAGCAGCAGTAGCAACAGCAACAGCAGCAGCAGTAGCAACAGCAACAGCAGCAGCAGCAGCAGCAGCAACAGCAGCAGCAGCAACAACAGCAGCAGCAGTAGCAACAGCAGCAGCAGTAACAACAGCACCAGCAGTAGAAACAGCAGCAGCAGCAGCCTCACCAACAGCAACAGCAGCAACAGTAGCAAGAGCAGCAGCAGTAGCAACAGCAGCAGCAGCAGCAGCAGCAGCAGCCTCACCAACAGCAACAGCAGCTAGCTGCTGCCGCTGCTGCAGCATGGGCGGCAGGTTTATCCAGGGGCTCTGTCTTTGGGGATCGCACGTCTCCACGGTAGCGAGAGCGGGGTTGCTGCTGCTGCTGCTGCTGCTGTTGCTGCTGCTGCACGTGCTGCGGCTGCTGCCCCCAAGCACCACCGGTAACACACCTGCAACCACGCAACCAGCTGCAGCAGCAGCAGCAGCAGCAACAGCAGCAGCAGCAACCGCAGCAGTAGCAATAGCAGGAGCAGCAACAGCAGCAGCAAGAGCAGCAGCAGCAGCAGCAGATCAATAGAAACAGATATTTCACTTGGCATCTCCCACGCATCAACGCAGCAGCAGCAACACCAAAACTAGCAGCAGCACCGCCTGCAGCAGCAGCAGCAGCAGCGACAGCACACCCAGCAAGAGCAGAAGCAACCCCAGCAGCAGCAGCAGCAGCAGCAGCAGCAGCAGCAGCAGCAGCAGCAGCAAGAGCATACCGTGTTTGCATCGTGGCTGATGTAGGTTCCCGGCTGTCCTCCAAGACACTGGAGCAGCAGCAGCAGCAGCAGCAGCAGCAGCAGGTGCAGCAGCAGCAGCAGGTGCTGCTGCTTGGGCGACCTCAGAAAATGTTAAGAGCCCTGAGCTGCTGTCTCCTCCAGCAGCAAGCAGCAAACCATCTGCAGCAGCAACAGCAGCAGCAGCAAACACAGCAGCAGCAGCAGCAGCAGCAGCAGCAACAACATGAGTAGTAGCAACAGCACCCGCAACACAGCAGCAGCAGCAGAAGCAGCAGCAGCCGCCGCCGCAGCAGCAACAACTGCAGCAACTGCAGCAACAACAGCAGCAGCAACAGCAGCAGCAGCAGCAGCAGCAGCAGCAGCAGCAGCAGCAGCAGCAGCAGTGGTTACCCTGGGTGATAAGAAGGACGGAGCCTTCTCTGGCGGTACAAAGAGAAGAGGGGGGCCCCCCACTAGGAATGAAAAGGGCCTCTGCTGCTGCCGCTGCTGCTGCTGCTGTTGCTGCTGCTGCTGCTGTTGCTGCTGCTGCTGCTGTTGTTGT